CTTCCGTGTGAAGTGGTATAAAAGGGTGAGCATCGAGTGCTAGGTAAGGGGGGGAAATGAATCGACGAAGCTGTGAAGCTACATCGACTAAGATGGTTAGAACATGTGTTACGCATGCATCCTAGCCGTTGCCTTCCTCGACGAGCAATGTTAGCTGACATACGATGGATCAGGTTGGAAAAGAAAAGGCCAGTGGCGGTCAAACCAAAACCAACATTATTTCATCAGTCAATGAAATGCACAACAGTTAGTTTAAGCCACGTAGGAAGGTGTGGACTTCTGTCTGGTTAGGGTATCCTTGATGGTAAACACCAATGCCTGGAGACAATCAGTGATATGGCTCAAAATCCTCGTTATCAATGAATGGCGAAGATGCATCCACTCCTTGTGACTCAATACCCAATAAAACTATCTTGTTCTTCGATATTACTATTCTTTTCACTTCATATCTCTGTTTGCTGTCAATATTTTGCATTCCTTCTTACTTTCTTCTTTTGCTTTGTGTGCTAAGTGAAGTGTGGCGACTCGAACTACTGCACATCGGTGCAAATTTCTATGTTGAAACCATTCAGTCGAACATTTATTTCGTGTTTAAACGTGTATAATCGCAGTAGTAGACAATATTCGTGTAACCTCAAGTACACAGTAATTAGTATCTGTATAGTATAAGAAATGATGCATCATTGAATTGCGTCCAAGTGGCTTAATGGTCTATGAGCTAGCTTAATTTGTTATCGGAATGTCCTGGTTTCAAACCCCAGTGAGTGCTACCGATAAGTACCAAGTACTAGAACAAAACAGCTGTCCAGTACTCCCTGTCGGCTTTCAGTGGTTCTCTTATAAATATTTATTATTCCCTTGGGTTCCCAGTGGAGTGGAACATAGGGCTTCAACAACACATCTCCACTTTCTTCTTTTCTCTGCTGTCCTCTTCAACTATGTACACCACGACTGCCTACAATCTCATCTGCTCCATTTCAATGTCAGACCCACCACGCCCAATTTGTCGCTTCCCATTAGGGGAGTATTGCGCGACGTCATTTGACGGCCTCTTCAGTGACGTATGTCCGATCCATCTCCATTTTCTCTTACATGATTTTTGAGCAATATCCCAATCCGTAGTCACAAGTGAAACTAAATCAAATCCCTAAAAAAAAAATAACTTTTGAAAAGAAATGATACAATTGGATACCAGTTTCTTCACTGAAGGAATATGCACTCAGAATTAAATGCAATATGCTTCATCCCTGGGGGATAAGATGAAATACCATAGGTGAAAAATGATATAGCTGAAGTGTAAAGATTCCCTTGAAGAAATAGTAATCTGAGCTAGTCATGACAAGGCCTGACCGCTTCAGCGAAGCATAGTGAAAACAATTTTCTTTAACAGTTGTATATTCTCCACTATAGATAATAGGATCTTATTTTGATAAATCACACAGTGTTATGTAGTAATATTAACTGATGACGTTTCGAGCACAAACTATTGCTCATAATCATATCAAGCAGTACAGAATAACCTTCAGCAAGAAAACAACCAATCAGAAGGCGTTGCTTCTCTGCTAATAATAATGAATAGTGATGTATATATATATATATATATATATATATTCTCAATAAACAATCTCTTGCCTGCCCCTTGTCTTCTGTCGTTACATACCTACTATCCTGCAAAGAATTTCTTCATGAGGCTTTAACTCAATAACCAAAGCTAATACATTTAGGGAGGTAAAAACATTATTTGCACTCCCATACTAGTTTATTTGCCTTAAAGAGCACACAGGAAAAAAGTACTGATAAACATTAGGATGACGATATTTCCTTAAAGAGACAGAACTTAGACGAATGTCAACCGGAATCTAGTTGAGCAATGAACTCTTGGCCTATGGAAAATATCGCACAGAAATTCCTTATACTCATAGGTTGAATAACACAGATTGACCACAGTTAAGTGAATACGAAACACCTGAGTCTTGATACACACATATTTCATACGTACAATACAAATCCACAGCTCGAGTAGATACCATTTTGAGACTAGCATTGTCGTTACAGAGATAAATGTTCACTTCCCGTTTCACCGAATACATCAACAAAGATGCTGAATTAATCTTAATCGTCCAACTATCAATCACAATAGTTATCATCATCAGAATTAATGTTAATTGTGTAAGAAACATTTAGTACTATGAGCACAATTCGTGAATAACAATCTTTATTTATCTAAGTTATTTTGTATTCCCTATCAATTGAATGATATTGGGACGAAATGCTCGGTTTTTATTGACATGCCGTCTCCTAGGACATAAAACACTTTACTGATATCTGATAGTTTAAGTGATATCGTCCGGCTAATGATAGCTGGCAGTGGAATACAGGATGCGCATTTCGTCCTATTTGCGCCTCACCAGAGCCCTAGACGCTATCACTAACTGAAGATGCATATACACTCAGTTGATGAGTTGTATGTAGGTTCGACGACAAGTTGACATCAGAGCTATAGAAGTATTAGGAAACCAAGGAGAACTGGGAAGCTTTGTCTTGTCTCAGTCTGAGACTCTTTATCAGTAGTACGCACTCGTCGAGATTCGAATCCAGCTACAAGAGGAGCTCGTAGACCATTCAACCATACGAGTGAGTAGTGATGAAGAGTCCCGAAATAGGACAAAACAGCTGTTCAATGATTCCCCTAACAGGATTCGGTTCTTGATGCAGTCAGAAATTAAATTTCTTGATATATCATAGGGTAAATATGTCCATTTTTAGTTCATTAATGGCCATTGGACGTGTGTTATGAAGGTGCAGTGAGAAGCTGTGAGAGATGAGGTTCACGATTTTGTCAAAGTAACATTTATTTTCATTTTTGATTACAGTTTGATGCCACATCGTATTTTCAGTACAAATATGGAATTTTCAGCATGGATATCGGTAGCCCAAATTCAGGCCGACCATAGATATTGGGTGTGCGTCGGCAGGGGATCGAACACCGGACCATGTGCATAGTCGACGAGAATCCTAACCGCTGTGCCACCGACGCACATGGATGCTCATCGAAGGCGATTGGTTAAGGGTAGCGCTAAGTCACGAGTTGACAAAGTTAGAATTCATGTGTCGTTTAATTCCAATCCAAATGGCTGAATAGCCAACGAGTTTAGTCTGGTAACGTGATCACAGGTTTGATTCCTGATTGGGGGATGGGGTCGTGGGTGCAAACTGTTGAAGAGTTATTCTCAAGTATTGGTTTTGTAGGGATTTTGTTTGATTGCATGGAGGATTTCATCATGAGATGACATCAGTTAGAGAACCACTGGAAAAACTGGGAGTACTGGACAGCTGTTTCGTCCCAGTTTGGGACTCTTCACAGTGCGCACCCAGTGGGATTTGAACCCAGGACCTTCTGGTTACAAGGCGAGGTCGTAGACCATTGAGCCACTGGGAGCCAATCCAATAGTCCTTGAATTGTAACTTCTGCCGATTCACGACATAGCGCGACCATCGATGAGAAGACATTGCGAAATGGTCGCGCTATGTCGTGAATTGGCAGAAGTTAGAATTCATGGGCCATTGGATCGGGTCCCAGTGGCTTAATGATATACGAGCTTGCCTTGTAACCGGAAGGTCCTGGGTTCGAATCCCGGTGGGTGCGTACTGATGAAGAGTCCCGAACTAGGACGAAACAAATGTTCAGTACTCCCAGGTTTTCCAGTGGTTCTCTAACTGATGTCAGCTCACGAAGAGGTATTCGTTCATTTTATTGAAAACACAAAACCTGGTATAGTACAGGCAGCAAGAAGATGGGCCACACAAGAATAACAATAATAATAAAACAACATATGAAAACAAATAGGTAGAGAGTGAATAAAGGACTTCATCTGGAAAGAAAGCAGTTACATATTTAACACGACTAAACAGCATTCGTCGAGTTATTGCCAAAAAGAGAAGAAAGAAGGAAATTTCCGCACGTTCATCACTGATTGTGATACTTGGCCATATCCGATAACGTTCGAAGCCACCAATTCCAGTTACCTCTCAGACCCCGACCAGGGAGTCGTAACGCAACAACCGACACTAGCCTAACACAAATATCCTTCATCTCACGACTCCACGTCATGGGCTGGCCAGCTTTCCGCTTTTTCCATTCAGTACCATGGCCAGCGAACAGAAGCCTCTCAGATGACATTAGTAGTGCCATTACTCATTCTGTTTCACTCTTATACTTGTCAAAACTCTATTGATTCTCTTCACTCATTTTCTTGTCTACCTTTGTGTGCTATTTGGAACGTGGCAACTTGAACGGCTGGACTTCAGTGCCAAGTTCTATGTTGAATCCAGCCAGCCAGCCAGTAGTACATGTACAAGCCAAGCCACCGAAGCCGGTGTTTCCAGATGACGACATTCAATAAATGGTGATCTCCACTGTGTCCAAACACACACGCTGCTGGACTTCAGAATTATTCACACAATGATACCATCGAACGTAAGCAATTCTGCGGAAACAGCGATGATCGAATCGCAGAGTCGCCGCACATCCTCGGTTGAGAGACGACGGGTTTTCACAGGCGTAAAGCAAGTCGGCGCTCACAGAAAAACTCTAAATCCGACCTTCAACAACCAGGATAACGTCGTCAGAAGTGGCTCAACTTAGTGTAAACCACTCTAGCTTTTATGATACGATTGAAAATCACGTCCGTCACACCTCCGCCAGCACTCACACAACTACCCGCATACACGAACTTATCGACAACTTCAAGCAGTTAACCTGCAAAAGTGAGTGACTGAGTGCAGGTAAAGGTTCTTGCCAGCCAATCTTATAACAGTATTTTGCACTTATACGGCACAAAGCACAAACTTCACTTAAAGACACTATTGAAGAGTTCAAAAATACGATGGAACAACTATCCAATCAGTGCTCCCCTATTTTTTAATGATCTCATCAACTCATGTATTGGTTGATTATGACAAATGAAGATAATAATTTATTTATGAAAACAAATTTTATTCTTCATCTCCAACCCGGCAGACAGATGTGCACACAAACGAAAACCAGAAAAAAACAACCGACTTAGTTACGTAATAATAAGTGGGAAATGGTTTGGCCTATTTTCTTTTGTTGTATGCACAAACGCGTGCAGCAGGCTCATGGCTGTATGCATTTTGGTAATTGTGTAAGACGACGCAATTTAATAAATAACTAAATAAATGTCATTTACACGTAAAATAAAACATAAAAACCCGATTGGAAACGCATTTACAGTAAAACAAACACACACACACACACTAACCAATGCATATATCTACATACAAAATACGTACTACTGAAATAAGAATGTCAGTAGAACGCAAAACAAAAGAAAAAGAGTAACAACCAAAATCACTTCTTCATAAAACAAGTACCTTAGCACCTTTACGTGTTATATGGACGGCGGAGGGCTGTGGAGGGACATGTCGTAGGAGTGGGGAAAATTGGGGACGGGGATAGCGAGCGAGTAAGTGAGGAGGTAAGAGAGTAAATAAAATCAAAAAAAAAAATTAAAACAGACAAAAAAGTAACAAAGCAAACAAAAAGATTCAAATACATGCTATGGCGGCATATGTGTGATCACTTTTTTATGTATATATATGTCAGAAATGAAGTATGTAAGTATATAAGGAAGTCAACAAAACATATTGATTGGTATTCCATGAGCATTAAATTAATATTAGTACTACTATTACTATTATTAGTAGTAGTAATATTGTCGCGTTGTCCATAAGATTCAAAGAAGTAAACACTCATCTGTGCGTAGAAATTATGCAGAACTAGAGACTGCCAATTTTTTCAAATGTTCCATAAAGCCTTGAAGTGATACATCATCTGTGAGTACTGCACTACCCGAATCCTAAGAAAAATAAGAGAAATTCGAGGATTTACATAGACACTACACACACACACAAACAATTATGAATGACTGACATAAAATAAAGATAAAGAGATATTTAAAAGTCAATCAGAATGAAGAATATTCTTTTCAATAGATTCTTCTCTTCAAGTTCTTAACAATATATAATATAATATGTGTTACCGTTACAATAAAGGCTAGTTATTTATGTGATGGATAGTCCCCTTTTTAACGTAGAATAACACATTACTTATGTACGACAACGGCACATGTCAAGTGATCCACAACGGAAAACTCAGCAAGGCGTTTGGAGTAAACACAGGAGTCAGACAAGGGTGCTTATTATCACCAATGATATTCCTAATTGTGGTGGACTGGATTATGCAACAGACAGTGGGAAACGAGAAGACAGGGATATCCTGGACCAACGTGAAGAACCTTGAAGACCTGGATTTCGTGCGTGGATGATTTATGTTTGATGTCACACAAAATCGAAGACTTACAAGCGAAAACCGACAAACTGGTCGAAGAAGCAGCAAAGACAGGACTCCAGGTGAACATAGACAAGACGGAGGTTATGAAAATAACCAACCAACAACAACAACAACAAAAACAGAAGCAGCAACATCCAGCGCCAATCACCATCAACGGGAGGGATTTGAAAGAGGTCGCTTCATTCACTTATCTAGGGAGCATTGTCTCAACTACAGGCACATGGAACGGACGAGGAAGTCAAATCGAGAATCAGGAAGGCGAGAAACACATTCATCAACCTGAAACCAATCTGGAAATCTTCGTCACTTAACTCAGCATCAACAACAAAATTCGGATTTTCAATACAAACGTCAAGTCAGTCGCTTCTTCTATACGGATCAGAAACTTGGCGGGTCACAAAGAATATTTCCAACAGCCTGTTGCAGACCTTTATCAACAGCTGTCTTCGTTCTATACTGAAGACCAGATGGCCGGAAAGAATCACAAACAAGAAGCTATGGAAACAAACAAAACAGGAACCAATCGTCCAACAAATATGCAGGAGAAAGTGGAGATGGATTGGACACTCGCTGAGGGGGCCGTTGGGTGACATCGCGCGTCAGACCATAGCTGGAGTGGAACCCGAAAGGGAAGCGGCGAGTGGGATGTCCAAGGGTGACATGGAGGAGATCGTGTGAAGAGGAGTTGAAACAGTATGGACTAACATGGATGCAGGTGAAAAGTACAGCAGAAGACAGAAGCATGTGGAGATGTGCAGTTGAAGCCCTATGTTCCACTAGGAACCCAAGGGAACAATAATAATAATATGAGGTGACCATAGTCAACAACCTTACGTCAGCCATCATTGGTCACAACAAGGAAGATTATGGTTTGGTATTCATAATTCTGGTCCTAGCCATCGCAATCTATGACAGTGGAAGATAATGAGAAGACTGGAGGTTTTAGATCCCCGATTATAACAGTGTCATCAATAATGCGGATAAGTGAGAAGCGAATGTCGATTAGTGCAGTTATAAAGTTGCATCACTTAAGGTGATTGACTAGGCGACGTTCATGCATAGCAGCTAACTGTTGCCTTCTTTTCTTAAGCAATGTTGATTGATATGGAATCAGAAATGGTCAGATGAAAACATGGTACAAATCTGTGAAATAACTTTTAGTCTGAACGTCATAAGGAGATGTCTGATTGAAATTTGTTCTCATTAGCACAGATATATTTCGCTCCTTATGATCATCTTCCCATCACTATCATTCATTATTCTCAATGTAAATGTTTTTACCATACATTTATTTTCTACCTTTTTGTGTCCTTTTATGAAGTGTGGCAACTTGAACTGTTGCACTTTTTTGTCTAAGACACCACGCTGAAAATTCAGTCAGTCATTCAGTGATCAGGCCAAGAATACCTCCTAAGTGCTTGCCTTTCGTCGCCATTGAAAATTTCCGCACTTTAGGCAGGCGTGCTATGGTAAACAAAACTATCTACATGATTTTAAACAGTATTTTCATTTTATTATTCCCTTGAGTTCATGATGGAAGATACGCCTTCAACAGATCACCTCTACTTTGTCCTCTTCATCTGGCCCCACGAACACACATCGGCCTTCATTTCCTCCGAATCAACCTCCGACTAACGCCTCACTCGTTGTTTCCCATTCCCGCGGTCTCCAAATAGTGTGTTCAATCCATCTCCATTTTCTCCTACATATTTGTTGAGCGATCGGTTCTTGGTTGGTTCGTTGCAAGCCAGAGTTTGTTGTAGCTGATTCTTCCCGGCCTGCCTGCCAGCCATCTAATCTTCAATATGGAGCTAGTGATGGCAGTCTTCCGTGGCTAGTTGGAAATGCTTTTCGTGACACGTGTGAGTCAAGTTTCTGACCGATGTCGGAGAACTGATTTCACATTGGTGTTTAAAATCCGAATTTAGTTGTTTATGCTGAGTGGGGAAGATTTCCAAACTTATTTCACAGTGATGAAGGACTATCTCACCTTTAGGATTTTCGTTTTGACATCCCCATCAGTCCCACCTCTACCAGATAGGTTAAGGGAGTGACCTCTTTCAAATTTCTCCCATTGATAGTGATTGGTGCTTGCTGTTGGTTGGCTATCTTCATTACCGTCTGACGCATAATACAGTCCATCAAAATTAGGCATTTCATCATTGATAGTAGTCAGCCATGTCTTACTCTTATATTCATTTCAAAGGATTAACTAAGTTTCTTGTTGTAGATCACCTGACATGTGGCAGTACCATATAACTGCTGAGTGAAGTTGATAAACATTTGAGGTACACCATAGCGCTGAGGCAGTTTCCAAATTACTTCACAGTCAAAGCTGTCAAAGGCTTTTTCAAAGTCAACAGAGTTGGATGAGGTAGAGGTTTGGCTGCCACTCTATGCTTTATTCGATAACGATACGTAGAGACGCACTTTGATTAGAATACGATTTGCCTTTCCTGTATCTAGGTTGTTCCAGAGGTCGGAGTTTTGCATCCAGAGCATCGTTTAGTGTCTCCTGGATGAAACGACTTAATATTTTGCATGGCACCTATTGCACCATTATATACTACCTGGTTTCACAAATCTTTGTCAATGACAGACTGTGTTCATACCATTTAACCTAACATTGATATCAAAATATCCGTAATGGAAACCAAGAAAACTACCAGAAGTTTATGCTTCATTTTTTAGAAATGATGTAACGTCGTCAAGACATCAGCAGCAAAAAGGAAACAGGCTGGTATGAAGGGATTACATAAAATGACGAACTATTTGTCCTGAACTTTTTTCTGTTATAACTTACCTTGTTAATATAAATATAGAATAATAATAATAATAATAGCAATAATAATCAAGTATACAACCTTAATCATAGATATTAGATGAAAATGATACGAAACTTTTTCTGAAAGTATACACATACTACTACTGATTGATGTGAGTAGTTACGAAACATTTAACATCAAACAGTAGTGTTCTATATACCAGAACATATGATTGTGAAATAATAGTAATAATAGTAGGATAAAGCAATCACAGAATCGAATATTATTCAGTGGAGAAGCAGATTTTTATAAAAAGTTAAGAGTAAAACACATAAACAAACACACACAGTGAGCACATCTCAACGCAAAAACGTGGGCGAGAGCCTATTTTAAAAAAAAAACCACATTTGGACATTAAAATTTATGTGAAAAGAAATTACACTGACGATTTATAAAAAATCTCTTGATTTAGTTAAACTTTTCTAGCTTTGAAGAAAACTGGTGATTAAAACAGAACCGTGAGAACCAACCATCTCGAGAAAGACAATACGCTATTACAAAATAAAAGTTGTAAGGATCATCAAGAAATCAAACTGCACTCCTAAACCTCTTCTAATCCGGTAATAACTGCTGTAGAGACGGGAGGTTGGACAGGAGGGTAGTAACCTCACTCCGTATAAAAATGCCATGCTATCGAAACCCTAAAGCTCTAGCTTGAAGCGCTACATTCCAGTAGGAGCTAGCGGCGGTCAAACGAAAACATGGCACCAGTCAATGAAATCCACAACAGTTAGTCTAAGCCACATAGGAAGATGTAGACTGGCTTCCTGGTTGGGGTCCTCGGGACGGTAAAAACCAATGGTAGGAAACAATTGGTGACATGGCTCAAAATCGTTCTCAGTGGCGCAGATTTCCAATGAAACTGTTTTGTTCTCCGTTATTACTATTCCTTTGTCTCACACCTCTGTTTACTGTCTATATTATGCATTTCTTCTATTTTCTTCTCTTGCTTTGTGTGTTACATGGAGTGTGGCGACTTGAACTGCCGCACATATGTGCAAAGTTCTATGTCGAAGACCGACCGACCGACCGAGGAACATACAGGAATAGAATTTTAAAAGTAAAAATACACATTGAGAAGCTTACACAGAGAGGAGTGATAGAGAGGCAAAGGAACTTAGGGGAAACACACATTTTGAAAAATAATTATTTGTACACAGAGAGAGGGACGCAAAAGAAAAACCGAACCCATGGGGAAAAAAATTAAATTGACACTGCAAATTAATTAGCACACACACACACACACACAACTTACATCTGGTTGTAACTGAACAAAACACATAGAAACAGATAACATAACCAATTTTATATAAAAAGCAAATGAAATAGTACATAGGCGAACTAGCCTTAAACGTATACACCTAACTGATGCATAGACTAGTAGTCGGTCAACAAATCCAACTATTCCTGTGGCGTGTGCTTCTGATGAAATTTATCGGCAGTATATAAGCACAGAGTGACAACAAGTAGACAAAATTGAAAACAACACTTTAAGTCAGTGGCTACAGAAGTAGAAGGGTAACCATAGAAGGCAAGGGGCTTGGTATCAGACATTTTTATTAAGGGAAAACACCATGTTCGTGCATTTTTAGCCACATTTACAGTTGTCTAGGTCAGCGGATAGTAAGTCGTTCTGATTGGTCGTTGACTTCCTCAGGTTATTCCGTTACTACAACGTAAGAGACATCCATATTTGAGAAATAAACCCTCCTACTTCTTTTGTCACTGACTTAAAATGTTGTTTTCAATTTGGGCTACTACTTATAAGTTTGCGTCTATATAGTACTGATAAACCTTATTAGTAGTACACGTCGCAGAAGTGCTTATTTCTCATCAAATCTGAATTTAGTTTGCGTGGTGGGGGACAACTTTTCGTCTCAAGTTTTAAGCTTCAGAAATCAACAGCCAGTCAGAACAGCTTATTCATCAACTGACGTAACCGACCTTAAATGTGGCTAAAAATGAACAAAAATATAGTGTAGTTTCCCTTAATAAAAACAAAGTCCGTTTCCAAGTCTCTAGTCTTCCCCCGTTACACATTACCAGTTTACAAAAACAAAATATGCATGTATTTAGCTACATACAATAGTGTACATACAACAGTGTGCTGTCTTATTAGCGCTATAATACGTAGGAGTAAATTTGATGTTGACTACAACGAATCTGGACCAGCAAGCTCTTCAAAGAAGGATATAAGCCTCCATTTACACACAAGATGATGCATTCAGAAGTTTTGAGATCACTAACTGATGATTAGAAAAGAATTGAACAACTAGATTCACATAAATTATTCTTTAAGTTTTTATTTTTACGGGAAAGTTAAGTTTATACTCATTTTCATCATTATGAAATCTATGCAAGGTAGAAATATCTTCACAGACATAGACACACCCAATGGAAAGTACACATACATACCTACAACTACTGACATACACACATTAATGCCCGTCGTTTACTTATGGTTTAATGAGTTTACCCGCTACATTTAATATCTTGAGGAGTTCGTTGTACGGATTTGATTTGTTTCAAGTTTGCCGACGGATCGATATCTTGGTTAGAAAATGGAGGAGTACTGAACAGCCGTTTCCTCCTAGTGCTAGGGATTTATCGGCAGTACGCACACCTATCGCGACGGATCGAATTTGGGACCATCCAGTTACAAGACAAGCTAACTTACTCGTAGAGCATCCAACCACTGGGATCTGACTCAATGACCAGTCCATAGATCCCAACTTCTACCAATTCATGATTTTTAGCGCGACTGGCGATAGCCAATATTATCGGTGGTGTGAGGAGTTTTCCTCACACGACCTCGACCTGATGGTGGACCCCATTGGTTACAAGTTTTCACTAAAAAGAGCTCCAGGCAACTTTCTCCTGTATAGAGTCATTCACTCACTAGCGAGCATTAGATTAATTTTCAAAAGTTAGTTCATTGATCGATATTCTTATTCTATCATATGACAAATGAGACTGCGTTAGTATAGGTAGTATAATTACGGTCGATATATTTTTACTAACTTTGCTTTACAACACTGTGTGTAAATGTGTCCCGTAACAGTAGATTAATTCATTAATAGAGCTTACATACGAATAACACACGAACCTAAATGTATATCCAATTAACTATACTCATGAGAAACACTCAACGTTTGGCGTCGAAGGTTCAGCGGTAGAAAGCTCGCCATCCATGAGACACGTGGTCCAAGGACCGATCCCCGGCCAACAACGCACACCTAAACCTTTCTAAGCCGGTAGTAATGCCGGTTGGGCTAGCATGAGGATAGCAATCCCACCCCCTAAAAGCAAATCCACTGCTACCGAAACTTTAAACCTCCAGCTTGAAGCCCTATGTTCCCCTCGGAAAGTAAGGGAATAATAATAATAACAGTATTAAATGATCTTGGAAACCACCAAGATAAAATTAAACAGCAAATATAAGTGAAACAAATTACCTGTCCAAATGAATACATTGTATGATGTGTAAGTGATGGATTGACTTTGGATAGTAAAAATCTTGCCTGACTACCATCGAACTCGGTTTCAACATATCGTGAAACTGGAAAGCGTACTTTCAATAATTCTTGAGCTTCTAATCTTGGTTTATCCAGAATCTGTTTAATATGCGCATATTCAGGCATATCCTAATTATACACATAAACAAGAAAGAAAAATAAATAGGCAAAAATTTCAAAAAAAATAAAGGGTTTGAACGAAAAAATATAACAAATTTATGATTCAAATAGTATGCCATATACTGACCTTGTTTTTGAAGGATATAATGTGGCAGATAAACAACGTTGTTAGTAACGTGGTGTTTGCTTCTGTAATACGATTTATCAGTAGTACATCTAGATGAAGAGTTCCGAATAGAATGACAAAATGCACATCCTGGATTCTACTGCTAGTCATCATCTATCAAATTAATTCAAGTTAAGTCCTCAAACATTGTCGAAGCACACGCCAAAAGAGTCGATGACATCTCAACCTGGGGCTGAACACTTCGGTTTAGTCAATCAACGGGAAAATCCGAACTGAATTTAAAAAAGTAACTAATACCCGTTGCAAAAGAAATAGATGGTGCTCTCATGGTTCAAGTGATCTAGTGGATAACGCTTTGGCGTTTGAAACCATGTGCACTGGGTTCGAGCTCCAGTGGGATCACCATCACTCGCTTGTTCAGGTGCATCAAGCTAACGAGATTCAAATAGGAGAGCCGAAATGAGCATCCTGAATTTCAGTGCTAATCACCATTCACTAAAGTAGTTCAACGGACTTTTGAACTGACAGGTGTAATCCTACCTCACATTCATGTTATCGAATGGGAGTTTTTCGTTTAGTGCGGTCAACAAGTAAATTGAACTATTCACATGAATAAAAATGCAGGTATTGTACGTATATATAACTGCACAGGTCAAATGAATAAATTTCAAACAATTCAAAAACCACTACATTATCCATAACGGAACTACTACAGACGGCTGAAATTACTTTTTAGAATAGAACTTGTGCACTGTTGTTAAGTATAATTCTACTCTAGGTAAAGTTTATTTTTGATGAAGTCTCACAATGTTAGACAGTAATATTTACTGATGACAACGTTTCTAGCACAATTTATTGATCATCCTCATATCAAGGAATTTTTATGTGACTACTGCTTCTCTAACAGAAATTTCTTATTACAAAGTGTCCGTGTCTCATTTGACAGAACTCCAAGTGAACATAGAGAAGACGGAGGTGATAAAGATAATCAACCAACAACAACAACACCACAACCAGCAAAAAGAGGCACCAATCACTATCAACGGAGTAAATTTGAAAGAGGTTACTTCCTTCATTTAGCTAGCAGGAGTCGTTTCAACTACAGGCGGAGCGGATGAAGATGTCAAAGTCAGAATCAGAAAGGCAAGATATGCCTTCATCAATCTTAAATCGGTTTGGAAATCTTCACCCCACCGGTATAAAGAAAGAGATTCGGATTTTCAACACAAACGTTTAGTCAGTCAGTTTTTCTATGTGGATCAGAAACTTGCAGTGCGCGTCACGAAGAGAATTTCAAACAGGCCAATGCAGAATTTTATTAACAGTTGCCTTCTCTGCCATTATATTGAAGATCAGATGGCGGCAGGCAGACAGGCCAGAAAAAATCAGCAACAACAAACTCTGGATTTCAACGAACCAACCAAGAACCTATCGTTCAACAAATACGTAAGAAAAAGTGGAGACGGACTGGACACACACTGAGGAGACCATCGAATAACAACTGCGCTGAATGCAGGCCATCGTTCAAGTGGAACCCGAATGGGAAACAATGAGTGGGACGTTGGTGCGAGAGTGAAACGGAGGAGATCGTGTGGCGAAGAGATGAGAAGTTATGGGCATCCGTAAGTACAGTTGAAGAGAAGAGCAGAAAGTAGGATAATTCAACAGAGGCCTTCTGGGGTAGACTAAAAAACAGGATATATGGATATGCACAAAAAGCAAAGGAAAAAGCTTACCAGATAGCCAGCTTTCTTCCATTTAGCAATAGTATCACCTTCGTAAATCAAGATTAAGAAAAAGCTGTCCATCAGTAGTACACGTTCAGGTTGTAAACTACTTGAATCCAGTAGAACCGGTTCTTCACTGCCATCCAAATTGAATGATGTCAACGATGGTTGTATCATCAGTAGGGAATTTGAACAATCTTCTTTATTTAGAACATGACTATTCAAATAAAAGAAACATCAAAGCAAAAAACAAAACTTGAAATAAAACCTGCCACCGTTAATAAGCACGAAATCTTAGTCACTTCTTACCTTATCAACTAAAGAAAAGACAACTCAAGGAAGAAATTTTCCTTTATCCACGAAATCACTGTTATATTTACTTTAAAGTAATGAGTAGTCTATTTCACTGAATACCTGCACGACTGACTAATTTCGACATAAAACTACTTTGTACTGATGTGCACCAGTTCAACTTGCCACTCTCCTTCCATGTACCATGCTTCCATCTGACTACCCACTCTAACTCTTTCCCAACCTCATCGATCCTATGTCAGCTAACATTGACTGTCAGTCGACGAAGGTGATCGATGGCCAGGGATGCATGCGTAACACATGGCCTAACTGTGTCATCTGATGTAGCTTCAGCTAAGACTCGACGCCTAACCTCAATATTACACACCCTGTTACTGCACCTACCATCTAACACGAGTGATAGAAAGCAAACACGTATGTCTTCCACTTTCAATGGCTGCCATGTCTCGCCCACAGTCAACCAAAAAGGAGGATGGAACAAGCTGCTGCTATGCAGTACACACGTCGACAGCCGGCAGGATATCACGTCTACCAGGCCAGAGAGGGCGTAAGTTGGCAGGTACGTGCCAAACGAGCCTTCTGTATCCGTGTAAAGATTTCGTCAGCGATAAGCAACAATGCACCAACCACCAAATATGCAGAAAAAAACAGAGGTAGATTGGACATAGGCTAGGAAGACTGTTGAGTTACACCAAGAGACAGGCTTTCATGTGGAACTCCAGTAGGAAATGAGAGTGACATGGAAGAGACTACATGCTACAGGGAAGTGAAAGCTTATGGACAATCGTGAGGCCAGTTAAAACAGACTGTAGGGAGTAGAGTGAGAAATGCAGGAGAGGTAATATATACAAAGCAATGAATATAAGGTGAACTTACCGATAATAAGCTGTTTCATCTGGACTATTATTAAACACTTGTAGAAATTGTGAACGTCGCATATGAAACATAAATTGTGGATAAAAGGAAAATTCATCCGGTAATCGAAATGATGATGGATCATCTTTACGATAATCACCAAATTTATGACATAATTTAATCAATTGTCTATCCAACCACCTACAATAGTAATAACAGTAATAATGATAATAACAGGAAAGGTGAGAAGAGAGAAGACGAAAACTATGTTAAATTAATTTGTCACAAAAAACCGACATCAGATAGAGAACTAATGACAAGTGTTTTGAGCCACTTTAGGACTCTTCGGCAGTATGTAACCATAACCCCACCAGGAATATCGAAATTAGCATAACAGAGTGCATTAGCATTCAGTCAATGGGCCGGAATCAGGTGACTCTAAAATTCTAACTTTTGAAAATTTGTGGCACAGCACCGTCAACATCCAGTAGCATGAAAAAGCATCTGACTTCACAACTGTTTTGGTGAACCACGACCTCCGATTAGACGAACCTCTCACAAGCTCATGCTGACTATGATCATCTACTGTATTTTGAACTGTCGAGTAGCAACATTGCAGCCGTAAAACAGAATATTATTGAGTGTACGAGCATACATTAAGATACATTCAGATACAAATGGCTAGACCAAGACATAGTCCTGAACTGCAAAGTTACGGAGTTCAAACCTATATGAATCTATACATTTCATAAAATGACTAGGAGCCAGTGTGACTGATCACACCTATGGTTGGAGAACGTACTTATAATGTCGTTTCAAATCGATCCCATTACCACAGATGCACTCGCTGGTGCTTCCGGCCATTTGTGATGTGATTATCTTGCCTTCTACATCATATGAGCATGTGCGGGTATGTATTCAGGTGTGTCAAAACTTCGACCATTAGGGAAGTGTCGGATCCTTTGTTTGTAGTTTTTCTGTTTATGTAACATATCGTTATTGATGCTTCCACGGTGATGAAGATATCTTTTCTTCTATTCCTTTACGTTTCCAGTGGAACATAGGGCATCATGTTAGAGCTTCGAAGTCGTGTTTATTTTTACGGGATCGGGTTGCTAGCCTCATGCCCAACCTTCTTTCCTTAGCAGTCTTATTTCTGGCTTAGCGAGGTAAAAGAGTGCGTCGGCCGAGAATCGAACCCCAGATATCATGCATGATTGGCTAGCATTCTACCACTGCGCCACCAATGCATAGACGTATCTGCAATTTTGAAGGAACTCAAGTCCCTTTTGAGATTGGAATCCAAGTCACACAGTGCTGTGGTGAGAAGTGTTACCACTAAGTAACATGGAACGTGGCTTCCTTGTGCAGGGGCCATGCTAATCTTCTATGTATCGTTCCAATTTTAGTATATGTACCGCCGAAGCGGCGGAGCCTAATCACTCTGTTTGTTACTTTCGTGAGTAAAATAATGGCCAGTATCTTTCAAAATAGACAAACACATATTTGATGGATGGTGACTAGCATTGAATTCCAGGATAAGCACTTTGGATGTCTTTTTTGGGTCCCATCAGCTGGATGTACCTGCATTCCCTAGTGCGTGAGTGGGTGATGGTGTTCCCAATGAGGCTCGTACCCAGTACTCATAGTTTCAAACGCCAAAGCGTTATCCAACAGACCACTTGAACCACGAGAGCCATCTCTTTCTTTTGCAACGGGTATCAGTTATTATTTAATTAAATTTAAACTTTTCCGTACCCATTCTGTCAGAAAAGTTTTCATATCTTAAATTTATAATTTATCAGTCAAGCGAAGTGAGTAACATTCCTATTCTTATTGCCTTTTTCCCAGAGTAATAGATCTTCACTTTATCAGACAGTCTTCTGTGTCTTTTCAGTGTGGGAATAGAAGTTGAGTGATCATTCCTATAGTGTAGGGAGTTGAATTACCTGTGGAAAGAACTCTAACCTGGTATTATTCTCGGTCACGACAGTAAATAATAAAGATTAAAAAATATATTACTAAGTATATGGAATCAGTAGTATAATTAAACGCCAACAAAAAAACTAATTTACCGTAATACATCAACACTATCAGCTGTCTCTGCTCTGAACATAGCCATACGAGCAGTCAACACTGTAGCAGCTTCCTGATCAAAACCACATATCATATGAGGCAATTGTGTTGATGAATCAATCCAATTACGACAAGCTGTTGTGACACGTAATTTTCGTTGACCATTAGCTCGTTGATATTGTGTAACAAATTGAACATAACCTCTACCACCGGGTGGAATTTGTGCACCACTTCCACTGGAAGAGGTGGCCACTTCAAAATAGATAGCTAATGTAGTGGATGGTGTGAAACCATTCAATCGCCATACAGAAGTACGCCCTATACCAATTTCTTGTTCACCTGTATTCGATGTTTTAACATTAGCCGAGAAACATGGTCCAATACAACCGGAGACTTTGAGTTCTTTAGATGTCTACAGAAAATTAAGATTTACATACAATAGGGCTGTTTTACACATAAGCTCAAAATAGTTGCACAAATCAAATCAAATGGTTGTTTTACTATACTAAGCGATAAAAAATGTAGCACAAGATAACAAATGCAATCAACAAATTTAAGACACTTTTCTCCAGCAGTTCACTAAAGATCATCCCCAGCAACCACAAACTAGTGTACACTACTAGAACTGATAGTCTGCATTTTAAGAGTCAGCTAAATATATTATTAATAAATGATGACTGATATAAAACATAACTGTATGAAAATGTGACTAGTTGTGTATTATTCTACGGATGATTCAGTCAACGTGTCTTCTCAAGTTACTAAGTTGGTAGTGGTAGGCAATAGAATTCAGCATTTAAAACCACTTGTGCAAAATGAAAGTCTCAGTGGGAACACTTGGAAACAGGTGGCAAAAAGCAAATGATAAGCGAGACAATCTCTGAGGAAAATGGCCCCCTAATTAGCTCTCAGGATAGACAACTGGAATGTTAGAAGGCATATTCTAAGAAGCAAATTAAAAGGCCTATAGTCACGCTTAACTTGCCCACCATCCAACACCTACCTGAATGAGATGTAGACATCGGTCATCCATCTGTAACTGAGGTTACAAAGGCTGTCTCTAATTAGGAATGAGAGGGAGAAGGACGCTGATGACGTATTACTGTCTGGAATAACCTAGATATTAGGCTGTGTCTGCGAATCAAAGATAGTCCTGTTGGAATAGTGCAAGTAATTAATCACCCCAGTATACAGGAAGGGAAACAAGTTCTCCTGTGATAATCGTAATAGGATTTGCTTCACTAATAATCATATGTAGATTAAGTGGTGCTTGGAAGAAACAAATATGGGTAAACCGAACAGGCTTTAGACCAAGAAGAGGGTGTATTTATCATGTCTTTACACTTCGACAGACTTTGGAGCAGGAATATTTACCGGCTTCCGACAACTGCCAGATTCCTTGACCTGAAAGCGGAATGCGACACCGTCAACCGAAAGGTACCATTTTTCACCATGAAGGGAATGCCAAGAAAATACATTGCACTGAACAAGGCACTCTACTTGAAGTAATCCATGGTCTTTAGAAACTTATCATCTGAAATGATGACAAAGCAGCGGTGCACAGGGTGGGGGGCTCTAAATATCTTTATTTCCATCATAGATGTACCAATGGATGTGCCTCTAATCGATTTTAGAGACTTCAGGATTGATCTATTATCAAGAGTATGCAGATGGATAAAGTCCTTCTAGGTGAACACGCTGATAAAATGGAGAATCTTCTGAATATACCTTCAGTTGAAATTCTAGTATGGTTACCTATAAAATGTAAGATGGTCTAAACCGATTCTCCGTTTATTTTGGGATAGGAAGTGAAATAGTTGAGGGTACTAAACGTTCCAACTATCTAGGAAGTTGAAACAATTCTAACAGACTGATTAACTGTTGGTTTGAGTCATGCAGGGAGATGCAGACTGTCTAACTGAGGTCTTCGAGATACTAAGAACCCATGGCTGTCACTCTTAATGATGCAGATTGCATTCACTCCTTGCAACCTCCAAAATTCATTAAATCCTTATTATTGTCTATGTAATCAATCATTCTCCTGCATATATTTTCGTTTATTATAGTTTCTCTGTATTTTCTCTACCTGTATGTGTGCGTTTTATGAAGTGCAGCAACATGAATTGTTTTAAAGTTCTACGCAGATACATAATAAAGACAAGACAGTCATCAGTCCATTATGGGTAAATTTTACTTTGATAAAGTCTCACAGTGTTATACAGTAATGTTTACTGATGACGTTTCGAGCACAATTTATTGCTCATAATCATATCAAGGTAATCACACGACTTCCTAAATTCATTTATATAGTTCCATTGTTTTTCACTTGATTTGATTGGTAGTAATATTTCCCATTGATAAAATTATTTTAAGAATTCAGTTGTGCCTCACATCTACTATCTTTAAATTCCAAGGCAAAATACATATACAAACTGAAGGTGTAGCAATGGGATCACCAATAACCCCTATCGTAGCAGATATGTTTATAGATAACTAGGAAAATATGGCTCTTAATACGTTTAATCCTACTCCAAAAATATGGTGGAGATATGTGGATGACACTTTCACAGTGTTAAAAAACAGAACATATCTCTAGTTTCTTCACACACATAAACTCACTAGTGGAGGGAATAAAATTCACATTTGAAGCCGAAAATGAGCAAGGAGAATTAGCTATGTTAGATTGTAAAATAAAACGAACAGAAGAAGGACAACTACACACTAGTGTTTATAGAAAACCAACGCATTCTAATAGATATTTAGACTTTAATTCATCTCATCCTTTAACTGTTAAGGCAGGCTTAGTTAAATGTTTAACAAACCGAGCAATGGCACTAAGTAGCACAAAAGAAAGACCTAAATGATGAAATAAAACAGATAGAAGAGGCGTTGGTGTTAAATAACTATCCTCTAAAATTCATTAGGAAGATTGGAAAAAGCCAACAGAAAAAAGAATTGTGAAACTAGTAATAATAACATAAATAAGAGAGAATATAAGTCATCTACAGTTATACCATAGAAAGAGGGGACATCTGAGACCCTACGTAGGATTCTCAATAAAGCAGGAATTAGGGTGGCATTTAAACCTACAAACTAACTCAGGGACAAGCTCTGTAGGTTAAAGGACCCAGTGGACCCCAATTAGACAAAATAATATAATTTACAAAATACCCTGCAATGACTGTGAGTCAGGTCAACTACATAGGTCAAACTAGTAGGTCAGGGGTAGTCAGATTGTCAGAACATAAGAATTTAGCTAAGGTAAGAATGGTTGACCCAGAGAAGATAGGTAATTTAGAAAAAAGCTCAGCAATTGCAATGCATGCATTAACACACAACCACTCAATAGGGTGGGAGAGGGTTAAAATTCTAAAAAGTAATCTAGGTAGGTGGAGAGAGAGGTTGATTACTGAATCCTTGTTCATCGAATCTACACCCAACACATGCAATAGGAATGATTCATCACTCATACCCGAAATATGGAAAATACTACTACCAATCAAATCAAGTGAAAAAACAATGGAACTATATAAATGAATTTAGGAAGTCGTGGGATTACCTTGAAATGATTATGAGCAATAAATTGTGCTCGAAACGTCATCAGTAAACATTACTGTATAACACTGTGAGACTTTATCAAAACAAAATTTACCCATAATGGGATTACACTTTACCACAGTGCACAAGTTTTATACTTACGTCAAAGTCATCAGTCATCAAAACTTGAAACTAACCTTCACTTCCATTTGACCAGCTAATCCCATTAAAAAGGAACCTGTTGCATCTTTGTTAAATACACGTCGATAGGTTTGTTGAAATAGGCTTGATGCAAAACTATCTCCCATAATCATATGACCACCGGTGTAATTCGTTAAATACCGTAATTCATGCAAACCAGTCTGATCTAGCGAACAACTGAATATATCGACAACATGAAAATTCTGTGCAGCACGATTAGCCAAGCCTTCATAATGCTATAAGATGAGTAGTGGAGAAAAAAGACATTGAAGAGAGGTAGGCCAATAAGAAATAACCACTGCATTATATATCTAATAATAACAACAGCTTTATTCTGAAAAATGTTTATATAATATATACGGGATTTTCAGCGGAGTTTATTGCATGATATTGTCGCTTCGTGCACGATATTCAAATATTAACATTAATTGGCGACAGATCCTGTGACACAGTTTTCTACCTCATCTGAAGCACAAACCAATCCTTCAAGAAATACACGCCAACATTTTGTTCAATGCCAATTATGCAAAGTGCATTAGTACACTTTGTGAACCAAGGACACAACACCCAAGAAGGGGATAAGCTGCCATCGACGATAATGTCTTTTCTCAAATTTAGTAGAAACTTACAAATCACGAAGTTGTAAAATATTTTAAATTCTCGCCAGAGTGAAAAATAATGTTCAAGGTTATATTTTACTAGATTTTAAACAAACTGAATAAAGGAAATTATACGTAATATATTGATGGAAGTTGAGGTGTTGTAATGGAAACTCCTGGTTTAAAATACTGAACACTACCCATTTTATTGGTTTTTTCTAGATTAACTGTAAATGTACACCTTCATGGAGAAAAAAACCAGAAGGAGAGAAATACAATACATATATGGGAGGTTAATTGGTGGATGGTGGCTAGCGGTGGAATCCAGGATGCGCATTTCGTCCTATTTGGGACTCGCCAGCTGGATGTACCTGCATTCCGCAGTGAATGATAATGTTCCCACCACTGAGGCTCGAACCCAGCGCCCATAGTTTCAAACGCTGAAGCATTATCCACTAGACCACTTGGGCCACGAGAGCCACCTCTTGTGCAACGGGTCATATTAATTATTTAATTCAATTTTAGATTTCCCCATCGATTGATTGGACCGAAGTGCTCGGTTTCAGGTTGACATGTCGGCGGAATGCAAGTACATCCAGTTGAAGAGTCCCAAATGGGATGAAATGCGCACTCTGGATTCCACTGCTAGTCACCATCCACCAATTAACTTCTAATTACATGTCCAGACATCGTCAAAGCATCTGCACAAGAAGCCGACATGTCAACCTGAGACCAAGCACTTCGGTCCAATCAATCGACGGGAAAATCTAAAATTGAATTAAATAAATCTATGGGAGGTGTTAAACACTATTTACGAAGCAATGAACTAAGTGATGATATGAATCTGCTTGTACTGTCATCATTCTCACCTGAAAGAGGAATACGCATCAACCATTTAAAGTGATAATTAATATACTAAGATACATGACCACCTACCTAGAAAATTCCTTATGGTGAGAAACGAGAATACATTATTCCTCATCTAGTCATCATAGACAGACACATATGAAGTTAATCTACTGTTAGGGTACTTAAATCCGTAAGACAGTGTTGCAAATCAAAGAGCCAACTAAATATCTACCATAATACTAATACCAATACTAACCTACTCATTTTTCATCTGGTAGAATGATGATATCAATCAAAATTAATCTAGTGCTCGCTAGGGAGTGACTGGCTCTATGCAAGAGGAAATTGCCTGAGGCTCTTTCTAGTGAGAACTCGTAACCAGTGGGGAACCCCACCACCAGGTCGGGAGTGAGGACAAACACCGCTGATGGCACTGGCTAGTGCCAGTCGCGCTAAAATCAAGAATTGGTAGACGTTAGACTTCATTCGCAAGCTGGGTCCCTCCAAGTGGCTGAATGGTCTACAAGGTAGCTTAACTTGTAACCAGAAGGTCCTGGATGTGTAAAGAATAATTTACTCTGTATTATGAACAATAAAGTTGTTGTCACAGTTAAACCTGACTCCTGTGTGTCTGTCTCAATGTGTCTCCCTTCTTGTATATCGGGATGATCAGTGACTTACACCAACCCGATGGGACTTCCTCTGATTCCCAGACGCTGCCTAGAACCTCAGTTAACGCAGACAGTAAACTGTCTCCACCATACTTAAATACCTCTGGAGTCAATCCATCAGGTCCCGCTGCTTTGCCTTGCTTCAGATTAGTGGCTGCTCTAGTAACCTCAGTTAGGGACGGAGGACCTGCCGCACATCAGTGCAAAGTTCTATGTCGAAAACGGACAGACAGACAGACAGTCTCAATGTGTGAGGAGGGGGGTGAGAATATTTTCAAGTGATCAGTTAGCTACAATGTCGTGACTGAAGCTTCATTTTAGTCAAGTTAGATGACAACTAAACAAAACACAAACTACTCCATTACAACACCTACAGATTAGCTAATGATGATATCCAGGAGAATTTGAAGCAAAGTCCTGTGATCTGTTAGATAACACTCTATCCAGGTGTGTCATATTATGTGATATCCGGATTTCGACCAAAGGGCGTGTGTACTGCTCAGCAGTACACTCCGTCCTCCTCAATGGCTGTGAGACATGGCCAGTGAGAGTGGAAGACATGAAAAGCCTGGATAGCTGTCTTTGATAATAAGTGTCTGCGTTCCATCTCGCGTGGTACAATAGGGTGAGCAATATTGAGATGAGGCGTCCAGTGCTGGGTAAGGAGGGGAAATCAATCGACGAGGCTGTGCAGCTACATCGAGTGAGATGGTTAGGATATGTGTTACGTATGCATCCTAGCCATCGCCTTCCTCGACGGGCAATGTTAACTGACATCGGATCAGGTTGGAAAAGAGCCAGTGGTGGTCAAACTAAAACCAATATGGCTTCATCAGTCAATGAAATCCACAACAGTTAGTTTAAGCCTGCGACGTAGGAAGAAGGAGACTTCCTGGTTGGGGTCCTCGGGACGGTAAACATTAATGGCTGGAGACAATTGGTGATATGGTTCAAAATCGTCGTTCTCAATGGCTGGTGCAGATGCATCCGTTCCTTGTGAACTTATAATACCCAATAAAAATATATTGTTCCTTGATATTACTATTCTTTTTGCTTTATACCTCTGTTTATTGTTTCTATTTTGAATTACTTTTTTCTCTTGCTTTGTGTGCTACATGGAATGTGGCGACTTGAACTGATGTACATCGGTGCAAAGTTCAATGTTGAAACCAGTCAGTTAGTCAGTCAGTGTCGTATTACGCTTCATCAATAAATCCTGGATTCACAGTAATGTAAACAGTATGTAATCTTTGAGTAACATACGATAAAACAAAAAAGGATACATATTATACCGAATAAACAATCTGTAGGATAGAATATATTTGTTGTCAGATAACCTGTTATAACAAGACTAATAAAAATTAAACTTACTTTCATAGCTCTTCGCATATATTTACAATTATCTTTTTCCATATCATGATGAGAGCGTATAATATTCTTCAAATCATCATCTACAACCATACCCGGACCTTGAGTACATGGACCACCAAGAAATAGCATAACTCTAGCTCCTGTATTTGGATAGGTGGCTTCTAGTAGACCAATGACAATACTTAATGCAGTACCGACTGAACGAAGTGGACGTTTACCTTGTGGTACAGGCCATGGATCAGGTTGTAGTTCGGTCAGTAGATCAGTTAATACAGCATCACATCTTTCCATGGGTTGAATAAATCTGAAAATATTGATCGTAATAAGAAATACAAACAATATAATAAATAGAGGTTACATGATTTCATTATGAGCTAACTTTGGTTAAAGTACCATTGGAAAGCCTAAGAGTACTGGACAAATGTTTCGTCCTGGCGTCTGGGACTCTTCAAAAGCACACAGCCCCACTGGTCGATGTTCGAACCCAGGGTCTCCCGGTTACAAGGCCAGGTCATAGACCATTAAGCAGAAGTTGGAATTCATGAACCATTGGGTTGGGTCCCATTGGCTTAATGGACGACGAGCTCGCATCAGAATAAATTTATATAAATTATCATGAGGAGTTCAGGAGGGTGGAAGTGAATAGTAAAGTAAAATTATAAGATAGACAAAATAATTTAGTAGATTTGGAAACTTAATAGTGAGTTTGACTCAGTAAGTGGAAACGAAAATCAAAATTATGCAACAGAAGAGAAAAATTACGGTTACCAAGGCAGCGAGAGAGATTAGTCATTCTACCTTTCTGTATGCATAGGTTGGGTCAAAGTCTTTTGATAGAAATGACTTCTGCGATTCTAAGTAATCATGGTTTCCTTTGTGTACTGATTGTTTTGAAAGCCTGACTTATTTACAGTGTGTGTGTGTTCGGTGTCAGGTGTCTGACAATTGTACTCGAGAACACTTTGCTGCCTTTCATACGACGACTTTTAAGGATACATTCGGCGAATCTAGTAGACGCTCTCCTTTGAGTTCTTCATATGTCCTTTCAGCCTCTAGTGTAGGTGAATTGGTAAATGCAGGATACTCATCTACTTTTGACTGGGTTAACGAGCATACTGTGTTGTAAAGTGGAATGAGTTTGGCGGCGGGAAATGTTCATTTCAATGTTTTATTTCTTTTCTCGATTCTTGTGGATACTTCTTCCGCTTCGTAGGCTATACAGATAAAAACTGGTTTTTTTTTAACTATTTCAGGTTTCGGTTTAGAGTTCGAACTCATGCTTTTTTGTATCATGTCTATTATGACGGTTTATGCTGAAGTAGCATAAGACACGAACCTGTATACGAGAGTGTTACTCCACAGTCACGCTGCATTTGTATGCAGTTGACAGGCAGTGGGCTACACGCGATATTTGAAGATTGAGTCTCATCAAATGCTTTCAGATGAGGATTTCTTAACTAGGATAAACACAGGTATTAGAAGTTCGATATGCTTTGCTGATTTTCCAGGTTAGATCGATTCTCGAATAAAACTTCCTTAAGAAATATTATTACTATTGTTCCCTTGGGTTCTGAATGGAATATGGGGGTTCAACAACACATCTCCACTTTCTCCTATTTTCTGATCTCATCTTTAGCTGACCCTACGATTGCCCATAGTCTCTCATCTCCTCCATGTCACCCTCGCACCAACGTCCCCCTCGTCGCTTCCCATGGGATTCTACTCGAGCGATAGCCTGGTGCGCAATGTCATTCAACGGATTCCTCAATGTATGCTCGATCCATCTCCACTTTCTCCTACATATTTGTTGAGCAATAGGTTCTTGGTTAGTTTGTTTCCATAGTTTCTTGTTGCTAATTCTTTTTGACTGGCTTTTGATCTTCAGTATGGAGAGATAGCAGTTTTCGGTAAAGGTCTGTCGTGGCTTGTAGCAAATGCTTAACGTGACGCGCTGACCAAGTTACTCTGACGTGTATAGAAAAACTGTCTTTGCGTTGGTGTTGAAAATCAGAACTCTTTTTCTTAATGCTGAGTGCAGCAGGTTTCCGAACTGATTTCACACTGATGAAGGCATACCTTGCCTTTCTAATCCCGACTGGCTTTGACATCTTCATTCGTGCTGTCACCTGTGGTAGAAACAACGTTTCCTAAATGAATGAAGGTGTGGTGAGAGCTGTCTGCTAGCCAAAATTGGTAGACAGTAATTTACGTCAATGTTTACGTCCCAAATCTTGGTCATGAGAAGAAACAAGAACAAAGCCTAACCTTGAGGAACTCAACAACCAATCACAGCACACTTAGCGTGGGCGGATACGATTTGCAGATATATCACCAGACTGTCTAAGAAACGGTAACACAAACGGAGATGACAGAATAGCCTTCAGCAAGAAAACGACCAATCAGAAGACGTTGCTTCTCTGCTAACAATAATGAATAATAAAGTACATAAAAACCTATAAATATCTGGTGATTTTCTCAATAAACGATCTGTTGCCTGCCCTTGTCTTCTGTCGTTACGAAGGAAATAATATACTTATACCGAATTTATCCCAATGATGGTGACTGGTGTTAGTGCACGAGTATTTCTGTCATCTCCATTTTCTCTACATTCACCTGAATTCTTGTCTCACCGCCTGTTTCTTCAGCCAGTTTGTTAGTTTTCGCCTGTAAGTCTTCGAGTTTGTGTGACAATAAACATAAATCATCTGTGGAATCGCTTCTCGGCTTTCTGAGCTAAGAACATGTGCAATATGTCTTCCAGAAATGGCTATCAATGATATCATTAATAATTTTACCAAACATAAGGCCAGAGATTTATACATGGTGAATTAAAGTGTTTAAAATACCCTTAATTTAAACGAAATAGAATGTAGCAAGTTACTATGACGTTAAGAAGTTCACAATCACCCTTGTTTGAATAATAAAAAAAACACAGAGTGAACTGTTACAGTAATTTGAAGCAAATATGATTTTGTTTCTTTTCTACTTGTCGTTGTTGTTGACAACTCAATAATCTTTTTATAAACTAATTGATAAGCAAATCTAATGTTGAATGGGACAGGGATTTTCAGTGATGAACTACATTCTGGTATGAGTTTTGCATTGTCACTGAACACTACACCAGTTGCTTATTTTCTTCTGGCACATTTTTACTTGGGCGTCTGTGGAATGAAGAGTCTCGAGCTAGGACGAAACAGGCGTCTAGGGATTCTGTAACCGATCTCATCACCTTGGAGGAAGTAGGAAAAGTTCTATTTGATGAATTGAGATGCATAAATATTGGGGGAAAGGGAAAGCAAAATATAAACCTACCTATTGTATGGTAACTGAGCCATCTGTGGTTGTGCTTGAGGTGGTTGCTGTTGTTGAAATTGTTGTTCAGCACCGTAGACACCTTTAACACCTGGACTAGGACGAGCATTGAATGTAGCCGGTTGACCAACATTACCAAAAGAACTACGACCAACGCCAAGCATTACCTAGAGAAGTGGGGGAAAAATATTGACACTATACAGCTTGTGTAGACAATAAATGAATATTTAGACAAATTATCTATAGGGTACTTCAGAATGACAGAGATCAAAATATTAGGCATTATCTTCAGCAATGCATAATCTAAGAATTTGTTTCCGTAATCTCTACTACGCAGATAGTACAGTTCAAAGTCCTCCAACCCATTTGTATCTATAAGCCTAGTAAATAAAAATTGATCTGATGTTAACTGGTTGTTCAAATCTTGACAAGTAAGACAAAGTTCGAATCCCCCATTCCACTGACTTAAAGTTAACTACTTAGACGATTAAATCAATGCGTCGCCTTTGACTGAATGACACAGTTCACTCGTCACCAAACAAAGGATTAAACGCATGACACTATTAACTAACTAGTGCCCAATCAAAGTGTACTTATTACAAACCTAAAGGAAATCAATCACAAGCACGAATAGCTCAGTGGCAATATCTCTGACTGAAGAAATAGGTGACACAGGTTCGAATCTCAGGAAGGACATGAGCACCTTCAAGATTGCAGCTACACACTATCCTGACGATAGCCAATAAGCATGAGGTCTACGTCAAGCAAGGCTTCCTGTGGCCGATTGCCTCTAACCATCTATTAACAACAATTCGGAGGTTGCACCATGATGGCTAGCCACCACCTAGCATAGTGCTCAGGTGGAAAACTTAACTGATAAAATCCAGTCTGCAGCAAAATCGAGGGACTAGATACATGATACTAGTTACTAACTACTACAGTCCAATCAAAGTACTCTGAAACAGCTTCTCAACTATGAGATACCGACATGAATTCGCTTTAGATAACTGAACGAAAATTATTTAAATAATATTTACCTAGGTACTTTGAATAATTACGTGTCAATGAGATTCTAAATACTCTGTTGTTACAAAAAGGAATATTACCTCCCAAGTGTTTTCATGTTTTCTATACTCATTCAGTAAGTAGTGTTTAATTAACTGTGGAAATACGTTCATTGATTTAAGCCAATGTATCCCCAGTCTGAATCCCCCATTGCCACCATCCATCTGGACGTCTAAATGGAATCACTAACTCATACACACAATACATGTATGAATTACACCATGGTACATGCGAAATATGATGCAGGCAACCAAGTTCTGACGGACTAGTATAAATCGCTACGTTATTTGGCTGATAAAGCGCGTCCCGCACTATTTGGAACTCGTTAGGTGGATGTATCCAAATCCCCACCAAGTGAGTAATGATATTTCCACTGAACCTTGAACCCAACACCCATCCTTTCACTGAACACCAAAGTGCTTCCCACTAGGCCAATAGGCCACAAGAATCTCTGACAGGTTAGCACAAACCAAGTGTTTCCGTCCAATCAAGACTGATCAACAGGAAATAAAAGATTACCTGGACCAATACAGTAAACCAGTGCAATTTGACTATCCGACACTATTCTAATCGGTAATATTAGTGATATTTACCCGCAAGCATTAGACGATAGCCGACATCCAATAGAGACCAATAAACAATAGCATTACAAAAATGCAAGTCAATTTGACGAAATACCAAGATCTATTTCAAAATGACTGACAGACTGGTTTCAACATAGAATTACTTTGCATTAAAGTGCACCAGTTCAACTGGCCATTCTCTCTCTCCATGTACCACACAAAACCACAGAAAAGTGTAAACACAGATTAAAAAGACAGGGACACAGAATAGTAGTAATATGCAAGAAGAACAATAGAAATCTACTAGATATCACAAATCATCACAATGAGTGGAATGCATCTGAGCCAGCCATCACTGGGAACGATGATTTTTAGCCATATCACTAATTGTCTACAACCTTCATTGGTTCTTATCATTCGGAGGACCTCAACCAGCCAGACTAGCAGTCGACACCTTCCCACGTGATTGGATGGCTAAAACTGTTACGGATTTCATTAACTCAAGAAGACGCTTCCGTTTGACTATCCACGCTAACTCTTTCTCAGCCTCATCGATCCTATGTCAGATAACATTGACTGTCGGTCGATGAAGGCGATCGATGGCCAGGGGAATGCATACGTAACACATTTCCTGACCATCTCAACCGACATCACTTCAGATAAAACTCGACGCCTAACCTCAATATTAGTCACCCTATTCACACATCTACGATCAAACACAGCTAGCCAGCCAGGCCCTTTCATGTCTTCCACTTTCAATGGCCATGTCTCGCTGACAGGCAGCCATAACCGAGGATGAAGAGAAGTGCTGCTGCGTAATACACACGTCTTTTGATCGATAGCTGGTCGCATATCACGTCTACATCAAAGATGGCGTCATAAATCCACAAAGTAAACAACAATAACACGGCATGTAAACCAGATACATATTCGAAAGAAAATTTCTAAATACGATTTTTTTTAATGTTTTGTCTTACTTGAATTTGATTTCCTGTGTAATCTTTTGTTCCTTTAAATACCCATGATTTAGCTATTGGTCCTGCTTCTAATTCATGAACATGTACCATTTTCCCAAAAGTGATCAAACCGACTAATGCTTGAGGCGGTAGAAAACTCAATGATAGCTGGATAGATTCCTGATAAAAGATTAGAAATAAGCAAAATCAATCAATGTACATACTTCATTGGAAGATTTCAATAATAATAATAATCATACAACAACAGTTAGTTTCATACACTTGGTTCCCTTGATAAATTGCAAAAAAGGAAGAAAGAAAGAAAGACCTGATTTGTTGTGTAAAATAATATCATCATTCTATTTGACAGCTGCTACTCATCAGCTGCTGTAACCACCTGAAATTACCATGGATATAAATAATGTTAGAGACATATTTCAGTTAGATTTAGTTTAAGTTACCATCAATTTATATGCACTCAGAAGAGCAAAAGAGAGGGAAGGGAGGAGAAAACTGAAAACAGAAAAACTTAATAAACAGTGTTAGCCTTTAAGTTCACAAGAACGTTATATTCCATAAGATTGAAAAATTGCTAAGCAAGCTGAAATCCCTAATGTGATTGACTAATTAGTGTAATCAAAATACAGTTAGTTACCAACGGAATGAAAGACTGACTACAGTCTCTTTCCGTATGCAAAACTTTGGTTTGAAACGCTTGATTGCAACTGCTTCAGCAAGTTGCAGTAAATCTCCCGTTCTTTGTATGCTTAATATTTTGAAGGATTTAGAAATCGTGATGAAATGACCCCTGTATCTACAAGGTGTGTCTGGTAAGTGCACTTTGAGAATATCTGCTTCCCTTCAAACATAAGATTCGTGGAATATGCTTGAAAAACTGGATAAAAGCCCTTCTTTCTGTTCTTCCAATGTACTCCGTACGGGACACTGATGACCTTAGCCAGTTGCACAGGGTGAAAGTTCGTGGAGTGAAATCTGAAACCTAAACCCACTGATTGGAAATCGAGGGCTTAAGCTAATGAGCTACATATCTGCTCAATCAATACACAAGGGACTAAAGACACACATTAGTCATTATCAAGCACAGATTGGTTCAGCAGACAGTCAGATACGATCATAATAACTGAGAATACCAAAGTCTCTGAACTTGTTACTGATTGTCAAAGGTTCGAATCATATTGATCCGATGTTAATTTCCTTAAAGGTTACACCTACACACTACTGATGATGATAGCCAATAACTGCATAATAGAAATTAGTGGCTTTCTTCCTATGTATTTACTCCTCTTAACGCCTAACATCAAAACACTGTTTATATATATATATATCGCGTCCGAAATATGTGCACCCCTGATGCTCTGGAAAAGGAATTACACTTTTTCAAAGAAATCTTCACTCAAAACAGATATCCACCAAAACATTTTGACAAGAACATCAAGTCGAAATTCCAAAGACAAGAGACGTCATGCGTGTCAAAAAAAGAAACTTTATATGAACTTCGACCTACTCAATGAAACCCTTAAGAGGAAAATTTCGGTTTCTTAAGAAGAACGCTAAGAGTAGTGTTCTCCAGGCGTCCATTAGTCTGCAGAAGTCCAAAGGATAAGATCTCGCATCTGATTACTTCTACGTATATATATCAGTTCACCTGTTGTTGTGCAGCCAGGTATATTTGGTCGTTCGATGCCTATCCTGTCCAAAAGGGTTCAAGAACACTATCCCACCGCATGGCTGCAGAAACATAGCAGTGGCTCTGTAAGGAGTGCGATAATCGAACACCTTACCAACAACACTGGTCATTCCATCTCAAAAAACGTCTACTTCAAAGTAATCTAAAAAGTCAAGGATAATTTACCAAAGGCAATAGGCTTTTGCCTTCTTTGCATCGCTGACGCTTGAGCCACTTAGATAAAGAAACTGGACCTGTACATACAAAAGAGAATTATTCAACCACTTCTGCCACCATGGCAACAACCCCGGTGATTTCTTCCGACCTGATTTTTGTTTGCTTGTCTTTGTAACTCGTTATAACTCTGTATTTTGTGGTGCTCTTGCATAATTCCATATTTTCCTTCGTCTCTATATGCATCCTGATTACAACTCACTTATTGCATTACTCATCCTGTTTCGTAACTCTGATTCACCTATTCAACTCCTTTTATGCATTGACTAATATTGACCACTATGCTTGTGACTACTCATCACTTTTGGTTACTACCCCTCGCCCTCCTTCATGAAATATGATTGTATATAAATGCGATTGTACAAGTAGTTAGAGAGGAAAGTGATTCCGCCGAAAAAAGCTCCTTTTTGCTGAACTATTTGTCTTGTTTTTACTAATGTTCAGTTAGGGAATTTTTTCATGAAGGAAAGCTGTAATTTTATAAACAATGAAAAACTGCTGTAAGCAAAAAGGAAGCAGTCCTATTGCATAACAGTGGATTATCATCCCATAAATGAATTTTAACAGAAATCAATAATATTTTCAACATTCACGTTATACACAGTAAAACAGTTAACAGCATGTTGCGAAAAACAGGAGATATATGAAAGACAATATAGAAACGCTTAGATTCTTCAATAAATAGGAAAGAAAGACAGACATTGTAAGAACAACAAAATACTTAGATGATATTCATTCCCATTGAATGGTTTCTCATCTTGCACTAATTTGAACATTAAGAAAAGTGGATGAACTGAAAAGAAGCAGTCACTTATTTCGATCCGGCACTGTATAGTTAAAAACCTCATTTGTCATTTTTCAATCGCGACACTACTGGCTGGCAGCTGCGCTATATATGTATATATATATATATATACATATCACGAACTGGCAGTGGTTGGAATTCATAGAATATTGGGCTGGGTCCCAGTGGTTTAATGGTTTACGAGATCGCCTTATACCGAGAAGGTCCTGGGTTTGAACATCAGTCGGTGGGTGCGTACTGATGAAGAGTCCCAAGCACTAGGATGGAAAAACTGTTCAGTACTCCCTGTAGCTGGTTGTCCCAATGGTTCTCTAACCAATATCAGCTCGTGGTGAATCCTGTAACTTCATTTGTTATACATTTATCATCAAGCTTATATAACTAACCTGATTCATGACCTTTATGTGATTATTACTTTTCATGATTCTTCTGTTGTTTCTTAATGATGAAACGATAGTTGAACAAAAATATAAGTGATTCAATTGGACATTTTGAATCGATTCGACTATTTGAACTCAATCTCTCCCAGGTATACCCATGAAGAGGTCAGCCTCAAATGGATAACAGTCCCCATGGTGTTCAGGCCGTGCCTCGCTAAGCCAACAATAAGACTGGTATAGAGGGAAGGTTGGGCATGAGGCTAGCAACCCCATCCTGTAAAAATAAACACCGCTGCTACAGAAACATCGAGCCTCTTGTTTGAAGCCCTACGTTCCACTGGGAACGTGAAGGAAAGTAATCACTGCTGTCTATCTAACAAGAGTGGTTTCCAACTACTCATTTCAATCAATAATATATAAGCTACCCAGTACTTGTTCAACTCGAATTGATATTAGGTCAGCAAGCCAAGTCCGAATATACTTACGAAGTAGGTTACCTCTTGAACCTTAATTATTTCCGCGTCAGGCAACTTGGTGAACACCATGAGGTAGAAAAATGTACCCTAAGACAGCTAAGGTCTATTATTCTTAAAAATATCAACGTTGAAGTGGACATACAACACATTCAACGTATTCAGTATATCCTAGACTGAGAAAATCAATTTCGCTAGCATTCATTCATTAATTAATTATTGAAATGACATTAGTAAGTAACAAACTGTCTAAATTGTTTACTTACCTTCAATTGAGTGAATTCAGGTTCTTCAATACACGTGTCCACGACAAAAACAAATATTGGCGGGACTGGTTGAACTTTCTACAAAAGTAAACAACAACAGCAATAACAAACAAGTAATCAATACTACATTTAAGAAGACGGAAATGCTTATTTAATTGACTACTCTATTCATACTGAAGTTCAAAAGTGACAGTTAGTACACAATAAGTCCGTTGACTTCAAAGTAGGCTTAAGGTTGTGGTTCATTGGGTAAGGCGTCTGACTCTCAATCACTCGAAAAGGGTTAGAATACTCATCCACCTATCGACTGATTGGTTTGAACACAGAAATACTTTGCACTGATGTGCAGTAGCTCAACTGGCCACTCTCTCTCTCCATTTACCACACAAAACCACAGAAAACAGTAAACACAGATTCAAAAGACAGATAATACACACAAGTGTCAGTCAGGGAAAAAGAATAGTAGTAATATGCAAGAAGAATAATAGAAATCTACTACATATGAAAAATCATCACAATGAGTGAATGCCTCTGAGCCAGCCATCACTGGGAACGATGATTTTTAGTCATGTCACCAATTATCTCCAACCTTCATTGGTTCTTACTATCCCAATGTCAACAACCAGCCATTCGCCCAAGTAGTTTACACCTCCCTACATAACTAACTGGTTGGTTGGCCTAAACTAACTCTTATAGACTCCTGGAGCCATATGTTCGTTTGACTACCCGCACTAATTCTTTTCCAACCTCATCGATCCTATGTCAAATAACATTGACTGTTAGTCAACGAAGACGATCGATGGCCAGGGGGGATGCATGCGTAACATATATCCTAACCATCTCAACCGATGTACCTTTATTATGTCATAGATCGAATATCCTTCTTTACCTAACAAACCGTCAACGTCTAACCTCCACCTATTGAGGTTTGAGAAGCCCAGTTACATTATTAGCCTTAACACAATACCTATGACTAGTTGTTAACTATATAGAAATACAACGGGTTTGTTGAATAACTATTCTTATATTCTTTTAAACTAATCAATTCAAGCGATTAAGAAATTCATCTATAAAAGAGAAAAGCAAGTGAACGTTAAACGGGTATTTTAATCCTTCCTTGTTACATATTTATGCTTATTGATTTATAAGAATCGTCGGATTAAATTTCTTATAAAGCCTGCATAACTGAATTTCAGTCAAATATTTTCTAAAGACCAATGTAAAGATTATATATATATATATATAAAGGAAATTCATGAGAAAAGAGTAGTAAAGGCATCCTTTACGTCATGGGATTTATTAAACACATATTCATCTTCTACTAAATGTTTCGACACCATTACATGCATCAATAAATAAGCCAGTGAATTATATGTAACTTACCGGGATGGTATATTCTAGTGTGGTAAACTGAGCCATCAATTCCGCAGGTAACTTTTGTTCAGTCATTCCAGCATACTGAGGTGGGAAGTTATTACGCATTGTGCATAGGCAACACGTCCATGTCCGACTCCTGATATCAAACTTAAGGTTAATAAAATTAATTAATTAATTACATCAGGAAATGAAATTAATGACAGTTGAAGCAATCCAAAATTAAAATGAAGTATTACTATATTATATATGAATTCCTTTGCGTTCCGAGTGGAAGATAGAATCTCAAGCTTTTAGAGCTGTGAAGTTTGGGTAGCAGTAGTTTTATTCTTCCGGGGGGGGGGGTGTTAGTTTCATGCCCAGCCCTCCGTCTTCAGCAGATTCATGAAGAAAAAACCAGGAGAGAAATACAATATAACATCTAAGGGAGGTTAAGTGGTGGATGGTGACCAGAGTTGGAATCCGGGATGCGCATTTCTTCCTATTTGGGACTCGTCATCTGGATGTACCTGCACTCTCCAGTGAGTCAGTAATGTTTTCCTCTCTGAGGCTCGAACAAAGTACCCATAGTTCCAAACACGAAAGCGTTATCCACTAGATCACTTCGGCCAGAAAAGCATTATTAGGACGAGGCGCATGCATATAGCATACCGACTTCCTCAAACCTTGCACACAACCATTAGGTCATGCACTATCCTATAGACTTTGGCAGATCTGGCAACGAAAGTCAAGGGAACACCATCGGAGCATGTGACAGGATAGGCTGCGTCGGTAGTGCAGTGGTAGAATGCTCGCTAACCACGCACTAGTTTCGGATTTCGATCCTCGACCGACACACTCCTAACCAATCAGATACTGGTAAATTTTGTCCTTGGAAAATTGTATTACATAATGTAAGGTGTAAGAAGGGATGACTAATTGTAAGTTAGAAAGGAGACAGAAGTTGGCATGACGTAATAAGTGTGAGATAGTGAATAATCAATAATCTCGTGTAAAATGAACAGGAACTAGTGGAAAGGCTATAAAGTGTTTTTGTATAAAATATGTATGAAAAACAATGTTATTAATAATCAGTAATAGAGTGGTAATAAAATGTGGATGATGGGGACAAAATGATAATAAAAGTATTAATAAAATAAAATAATAATGGTAATAATAGTGAACTTACATAATAAAGGAAGGAAGCAAAATTGTGACAAGAACTTTACTCTGGCCATGGTAAGGCTAGAGAATGTATGTATCGCTTTTGTATGCAGAGGTCCGGTTTTAGATCTCGAATAGCTAATGCTTCAGCTATGTACAGATGGCGAATCCGAAGTCCCTTTGTACGATATTGAGGGACCCTGTGTAACACTGTGAAGCATTCATGTGGGGGTGCTCGATGTCCAGAGATGACAAGGTGTTCGAGGATCGAGCTGTTGCTATTCTTCTTTTCTCCTCTGGCCAACCAAGCGGGGCAGTGTTCCAGAATACGTTTTTGGACTTGACGTTGCGTACGGCCAATATACTTTGCTCCACACGAGCAAGTAAATTGATAAATACACATTGAGGTGGCCAAAAGCGGTATCTTGTCCTTCACGTTAGACTGGATTAACTGTCTGCAGGAGAATGTGATACGTAGAGTGGCTGTTGGAAATGTCTTCTTCAGACATTTAGAAAGGCGGTTTCTGAGAATTTCAGCTGCGACATCACCTTTGAATTCTAGGTTCATGAAGAGAGTCTTCTTAGGAACCGTTGCGATGTTTGACATCGGAGGCTTCTCCTTCATGTTTTTGTCAATAAATCTTGGTGGATATCCATTCTCTAGTAGGATTTTTCGTAATAAATTTAATTCATTCTCCACCATGTCTTCCGAGCAGATTTTTCTAATCCTTGAGCTCAACGTACGTATCAGGTTTCTCTTTCGGGTTAGTGGGACGAAGCTCTGAAAGTTGATAAACTGTCCAGTCCATGTTGGCTTGCGGTATATTGATCTTTGGATCGTACCATCGTGTCGTCTGGTGAGTAGTACATCAAGGAATGGAAATGCGTTGTTCGATTCTCTTTCTAAGGTGAAACTTATTGATGGATGCGCTGCGTTGAAGGTTTTGAGGAGAGAATCTAAATCACAATTTTCATCACAGATTATAAACGTGTCATCTACGTATCTCTTGTATAAGTGCAGTTGACTTATCAAGGGATTGAGGATGTTGTTTTCTAGACTCGCCATGAAGCAGTCGGCTAGGAGTGGACCGAGAGGAGACCCCATAGCTACTCCATCTTTCTGTACGTAGAACTTTTCATTGAATTTGAACTGTATATTGAACGTACATCTGAGAAGAAGTTCCTTCAGGTAGTTTATTGGGAGAGGAACTTCTAGGTTGTTGGTTTCGATGTAATCACAAATGAAGCATATTGTTTCAGTTAGGGGGATGTTTGTGAATAGAGAGACGACATCTAGTGAGATCATTTGTCTTTCAGACACGTTGACATCCTTCACTGAGTCGATGAAGTCAAATGTATCTCTGAGGCTATATTTTGTCATATGTCTTTGAACTGGTTCGAGGATATCAGCTAGCCACTTCGCGATTTGATGATATGGTGAGTTAACCATGTCTATGACCGGTCGAAGTGGGACATTCTCCTTGTGCACTTTAGGCAGTCCATACAGTCTTGGAATAGTTGAACTGCAAGGTTTTATTTGCTCATAAACCTCCGGTGTTATGACTGAATCTTCTTTCATTCTCTTCAGCAATTTTGTAAGTAGGTTTTCAGTTCTTTCGGTTGTGTCTTTCTGGTTGGGTGATTCGAAGAATTTGGTGTTATCTGATAGTATATCTGTCAATTTCTCATTGTAATCGGATCTATTCATTACTACAATACCATTGCCCTTATCAGGACGGACGAGGATTATGTCTTTATTTTCTTGGAGCTGTTTAAGTTGTCGTTTGTGTTCCTTGGTCAGTAGGTAACGGTGGCTCGGTCGCGTATGAATGTACTTGTAACAGCTGTCAAGGATTGAAGCTTTGAATTGATCCAGATCTTTTTCAGAAGTAGGTGACAAATCGGATGTCTGTGACATTAAATTCTCAAACTGTACTTTAGTTTGTAATTCGTTGAATTTACTCGATACATGGCAAAATTTTGGGCCAAGTGATAGCACTTGCATTTGAACAGGAGTCAGAGGAAAATTCGAGAAATTAAAGACGTATTTCTCCGGATTCTGTGGAAACGACGAAAGAGTTTCAGATGGTTTCAGGCTTTTTGTTAGTCGTGAATTGGTATCGTTGCAACGTTTTTGTATGACACTAGATACATAATCCTGAAATGTTTGTCGTTCATCATCGGATAGTTCATATAAAGCATGGGTTCTTTGTGATATATTACGTTCAAGTTCGGGTATGCGTGAGCGGATGGCGTCGATGTGATTGAGTGTGTGACGTTTAAGTGTCTTTGAATTAGGGTAAATATGATTCCGGCGGAGATTCTTCCAGTAATGTTTTGGATACTCATGCTTATCGATGCATCGCTTCAGAAAATTAAGCTCCGTGTTAACTTCAGCAAGCTTGACAGAGAAACGCAGGAATTTGTCCAATTCCTTTACTGTCACAGGGTCCTTGGAGTTCTTCAATGAACGAAATATTCCCATATTGAGTCATAAGAAAGAGGCACAAACAGCGAAGAAAATTTTCTTTTCGACGATTCATTTTCATGAGCTGTACAATCGTAATTATATGTATGTATCTAGTGTCATACAAAAACGTTGCAACGATACCAATTCACGACTAACAAAAAGCCTGAAACCATCTGAAACTCTTTCGTCGTTTCCACAGAATCCGGAGAAATACGTCTTTAATTTCTCGAATTTTCCTCTGACTCCTGTTCAAATGCAAGTGCTATCACTTGGCCCAAAATTTTGCCATGTATCGAGTAAATTCAACGAATTACAAACTAAAGTACAGTTTGAGAATTTAATGTCACAGACATCCGATTTGTCACCTACTTCTGAAAAAGATCTGGATCAATTCAAAGCTTCAATCCTTGACAGCTGTTACAAGTACATTCATACGCGACCGAGCCACCGTTACCTACTGACCAAGGAACACAAACGACAACTTAAACAGCTCCAAGAAAATAAAGACATAATCCTCGTCCGTCCTGATAAGGGCAATGGTATTGTAGTAATGAATAGATCCGATTACAATGAGAAATTGACAGATATACTATCAGATAACACCAAATTCTTCGAATCACCCAACCAGAAAGACACAACCGAAAGAACTGAAAACCTACTTACAAAATTGCTGAAGAGAATGAAAGAAGATTCAGTCATAACACCGGAGGTTTATGAGCAAATAAAACCTTGCAGTTCAACTATTCCAAGACTGTATGGACTGCCTAAAGTGCACAAGGAGAATGTCCCACTTCGACCGGTCATAGACATGGTTAACTCACCATATCATCAAATCGCGAAGTGGCTAGCTGATATCCTCGAACCAGTTCAAAGACATATGACAAAATATAGCCTCAGAGATACATTTGACTTCATCGACTCAGTGAAGGATGTCAACGTGTCTGAAAGACAAATGATCTCACTAGATGTCGTCTCTCTATTCACAAACATCCCCCTAACTGAAACAATATGCTTCATTTGTGATTACATCGAAACCAACAACCTAGAAGTTCCTCTCCCAATAAACTACCTGAAGGAACTTCTTCTCAGATGTACGTTCAATATACAGTTCAAATTCAATGAAAAGTTCTACGTACAGAAAGATGGAGTAGCTATGGGGTCTCCTCTCGGTCCACTCCTAGCCGACTGCTTCATGGCGAGTCTAGAAAACAACATCCTCAATCCCTTGATAAGTCAACTGCACTTATACAAGAGATACGTAGATGACACGTTTATAATCTGTGATGAAAATTGTGATTTAGATTCTCTCCTCAAAACCTTCAACGCAGCGCATCCATCAATAAGTTTCACCTTAGAAAGAGAATCGAACAACGCATTTCCATTCCTTGATGTACTACTCACCAGACGACACGATGGTACGATCCAAAGATCAATATACCGCAAGCCAACATGGACTGGACAGTTTATCAACTTTCAGAGCTTCGTCCCACTAACCCGAAAGAGAAACCTGATACGTACGTTGAGCTCAAGGATTAGAAAAATCTGCTCGGAAGACATGGTGGAGAATGAATTAAATTTATTACGAAAAATCCTACTAGAGAATGGATATCCACCAAGATTTATTGACAAAAACATGAAGGAGAAGCCTCCGATGTCAAACATCGCAACGGTTCCTAAGAAGACTCTCTTCATGAACCTAGAATTCAAAGGTGATGTCGCAGCTGAAATTCTCAGAAACCGCCTTTCTAAATGTCTGAAGAAGACATTTCCAACAGCCACTCTACGTATCACATTCTCCTGCAGACAGTTAATCCAGTCTAACGTTAAGGACAAGATACCGCTTTTGGCCACCTCAATGTGTATTTATCAATTTACTTGCTCGTGTGGAGCAAAGTATATTGGCCGTACGCAACGTCAAGTCCAAAAACGTATTCTGGAACACTGCCCCGCTTGGTTGGCCAGAGGAGAAAAGAAGAATAGCAACAGCTCGATCCTCGAACACCTTGTCATCTCTGGACATCGAGCACCCCCACATGAATGCTTCACAGTGTTACACAGGGTCCCTCAATATCGTACAAAGGGACTTCGGATTCGCCATCTGTACATAGCTGAAGCATTAGCTATTCGAGATCTAAAACCGGACCTCTGCATACAAAAGCGATACATACATTCTCTAGCCTTACCATGGCCAGAGTAAAGTTCTTGTCACAATTTTGCTTCCTTCCTTTATTATGTAAGTTCACTATTATTACCATTATTATTTTATTTTATTAATACTTTTATTATCATTTTGTCCCCATCATCCACATTTTATTACCACTCTATTACTGATTATTAATAACATTGTTTTTCATACATATTTTATACAAAAACACTTTATAGCCTTTCCACTAGTTCCTGTTCATTTTACACGAGATTATTGATTATTCACTATCTCACACTTATTACGTCATGCCAACTTCTGTCTCCTTTCTAACTTACAATTAGTCATCCCTTCTTACACCTTACATTATGTAATACAATTTTCCAAGGACAAAATTTACCAGTATCTGATTGGTCTAAAGATTTCTTTGTTAATTATAATTACGATTGTACAGCTCATGAAAATGAATCGTAGAAAAGAAAATTTTCTTCGCTGTTTGTGCCTCTTTCTTAACACTCCTAACCCTTGAATAGGTGATAGTAAGCCCGGCAAAGAGGGAATGTTGGGCGTGAGACTAGAAAACGCACCCTGTAAGAATAAAGCTACTGCTACTGAAACTTCAGAGTTCTAAAAGCTTGAAGACATATGTTCGACTCAGAATGCAAAGGAATAAAGTAAATAAGAATAGTGCATAACCCGAAGAGGCCCTCTGAGGTCTTAAGTAATACTTTAAAAACTATGAACAAAAATATTTCAAACAGTGAAATGAGAACAACCATTACTTTCCATTAATCCAAACTGGAGGTGAAACAGCACAGAAATGTTAGTTTTTAAGTTAAATATCGCCAGAGACACTTTAAAAGACCATCTGATAGTGGCGTACATCTGCTGTCAAGAAGACTCCAGTTAAACTTTAAATTTATGGAGAGATTGTTTTCATTTTGACTGCATATAAAGACAACTCAAACGATACTTAGTTATTCCACAATTAATAGCAATTAAAATGAAATAAACTTTGAATCCATTTATTTGAAATTTTTGAAGTATACTAGAAATATCCTATTATTTTGTAATTCGAAAAAAACCGAAAATGTTATTCTTTTCTTCACTGAAAACTCGCAAAACGATCAATTTACACCAGTCGGTTGTATGAAGAGTTTTTGAAGCGTAAACAATCAAGTCCAGAGAATTCCGTGTTGATCATCTGCATAATACGAGTAACTAAAGGGGTTTTCAAGATGTGTGAACTCACCCTGCTGCTGAGATTCTTAAGATGCGAACCATATTCAGATTTTTATTTTATTTATTTTATTCCTTTACGTTCCAGGTGGAACACAAGTTTTCAAGCTTCAGCTCTGAAGTTTCAGCATCAGTGGTGTGTTTTACGGGGCGGGGAATGCTAACCTTACACCCAACCTTCTCCATTTGTCGAACATACAACCAGCTAGGGGAGGTAAAGGTGTGTGCCGACCGGGAATCGAATCCCGGATTACGTGTATGGTCGACCAGCATTCTATAGCTGAATCACGGACGCACAAAACATTTAGAAGGTTCCTCTAATTTATTCCCACTCATACACAACTAAAATTGTTTTTTGAAACTTAAATCACACACTGAATTCCACTAATAGAAATACTCAAATTTAACAACAAACACACTAATATCGTGAGATAAATTTCAAAATATGGAGTATGTACCACATGGTTCAACCGTAATTATCACTGAATGGAGTAAAACATATCTTGAGTTAGTTACTTCATACAAAAATCAACACTAAAACTAAGTCTGTACACCAAATATGAGCCAATCAGTACGATGATGCACACAGACCAAGTTTTGTTCAACAGTGCAGTAAGCAAACAAGCACAATATAATACCAGGAAACCTAGTGAATTATTACACTGATATCTCTAACCACCCTAAAAGTAAACGAACTTACCGGACAGTATGGATTAAGAATCCCACGACATCGAGTACAGAATACTGGTTCATAATTAATCGGTGGAAAATCATAACGTTCTTTGAGTAATGTGTATAAACATCCGATAGGTACTACAGACTGGGCAGATTCTAGTCGAGAAATAGGCCATGCATTCCAAGAGAAACGTATTCCATCATTTATCTCAGACTGTTGTATAAATTCAGCCATAGTCGCCATTTTTAATGATTAACTAAACAAAGATAAATTGTTTAAAATCTTGTAGAAGCAATAGTAACCAAATCACTTAATAAAAAGACAAATTAGAGCCTTAGAAGAACAGGCGGTACATAAGTTCACTTAGAAGGAAAATAGTTTATTTATATAAACATACTCGTCATTTGTGTAATAGCAAACACGATTTCGCTATCGAATATTGAAAGATTAGAGCGAATACATAAAAGATAGTAAAATATTACCGTTTTACAAGCTGAACTGATTCTCCAAAGTAGAAATTCGCAGTTGCTATTTGGAACGTGGCAACTCGAACTGCTGCACTTCGGTGCCAAGTTCTATGTTGAATCCAGTAGCAGCAGCAGAAGTAACCACACTTCATAAAAGCCAAGTTCGACCCCTTGGCTTGCATGATACGTGCCCCAGATAACTCAATCAATGCCGCTTCCCAAACTCTTTGATTAATTTTCCCTCCTTACCGAACAATACAACTGACTTCAACATTACTTATTATATTACACCACTTACCACAGTTAGTCCCCCACTTTCGATGGTCATGTCTCACAGCCTTATATAAGTACCAAATGAACTGTTGTGTAGTACACACATCTTGAGATCGACAGCTAGATATCATATCTACGCTGAAGATGACATTAGCTATCAAATGCCACACGAGTCTTCTGTATCTATGCTGAGTTTTCGTCCATAAGGTCTGATACAATTCCCCCCAAATAATTGACTTGGTCAACACGACCAGCCATCCTACTCCCTAACTATAAATTAGAAATTGATGTAGTCCAGTTATGCAGCATCACCTTACATTTGATAGAGAAGGATCGCAGGTCCCACATACCGAAATTTCTACTCAAGGTATTCAGAAGATTTAGTGTTTTGACAGTTTTCACATGGAACAACTATATCATCTGCATATGCTAAATCGACGATTGTCCCCTTGTAAAGGTTCAATCGTGGTCAGCAATGGGAAAAAAGTTAACCAACAAAATCACTTGCTCATAGGACTAGTGTATCTAGTATGTGAAATATGGGGTAGACGGATTAATATACAACGACCTTGGAGCTTACAAAGATATACATCACTTGAAGTTGCTTAGTCTAATAGTAACATAAAAAGGCGAACACAGTGGAATAACTGAAATGAATGACAGGAAGACACAGAATAGGACGTATAATTAAATAAAGACTTATGGTGATATTGAAAGTCTAGCTCATGTGAAAATACATGTAACATATTTTCACTGACCTGGAATTGTCACCAGGTTCATTAAATTTATACTCTAAATATGCATACTATGAAAACCAAACCACGTACTATCTTTGACACACAAACAACATTATTGCCTGAAAATATATTCACTATTAAAGAGTAAATATCCACACCCATATTTGCTAAATGATTAAGCGATGTGCAAATCTACTGACTAATCAACTGGTGTGTTTCCCAAAAATCATTGGATTCAATCTGCAGTACTCGTTTTAATTCTGTCATATGCCAGGAGTACAAGGAAAACAAGGTCTAAAGGATTAAGTTTCTCTAATACTTTTCAGCTTCAGTGAGTATGACTGCTATGCAGAAGCATCTGACGTAAAATACCTGATTTTTGATAAGTAGTCTGTTAATAGAGAGTTACCAAATATATAAATACTCAATAAGAAATTTTTCATGTATGCTGATACTGTAACCGGTCTACTGCAGACGTGGAGCTTTTTAAAAAATATCAACTTCAGTTAGAAGTTCATAGGAATGACCTTACGCTATATCTGACCGATCCTTGAAGGTCAGCTTTTGACAGACCTTGACTTCCGCTATGATAGTTTGACTTCAGAGATATTTTTTACTTTATAAATTATCTAAATATGTTTATCCCAACTAAAAATATCAACAAGGTCAGTTGCATGTTTTAAATACGGATGCTTTTAACAAACCCATGTAGTCCTACTTCGGCTAACTGTCCTCACCAAAAAAAGACGGCGACTTAATATGCGGACAGAGTCTCGGCTGGGAATCTTGTCTCTATGTCAACAACCTGGAATATAATTCTGGATACACAGATATATGTATATATGAGTACAAATCAACAAGTGTGAATTCAAAACAAAACAATTCCAACAGTAAGTGATCACAAGCAGTAACTTTTTTCGGAATATTACCAAAAACAAAAAACTTATCATTGTGTGTGAACTATTGAAATATAATTATAATTTATTTGGCCTAATCCACAGTGCTCAAACTTTTTACTGACATTATTTATTTAACTCCCTGTCTCACTTATTTGTCCTCCGTCGTGAAACCAAAATAGTATATATGCTGCTTACTGCACGGTCGAACCAACTACTGTCCAACTGCTTGTTACGGATTTATGAATAATCCGAAAAACCAGTAGTATTCAGTAAACATCTCAGGTGCATATACTCGATTGCTTTTGAGATTTAGCATTCACAAAATGAAAGCAGGATTCAAATAAATATAATAAAACATTATAAATTAATTTGACACCCAAGAAAGGCACCTATAACTTACTTAAAACCCAAACTCACAAGTCTATTAAAAATGTGAAACGTGTTAAGCTCAGTTTCAAATGCAGCGCGCGCCGTAGGCTGTTTACGTGGGACAACTGAACACAGATACAAATATTGGTGCAATCAAACAGCTGTAAAAAACACAGACACCACATACTACGTGATCGACTAGCAGAATAAAAACCTTCTCAAACGATTCTTCAGGACTGAAAATATCAATTTTAGAATTTATGAAAGTTTGAATCTGTACACTATTGGTTTCAAGGAATTCTCTATCTGTGCAGAAAATATAAAGTATAGATGCCAGTAAATAAAATAGTTAATACAGTTGTACTCTTTGCTATCGATAAGTAGAATTTAGTTTAGGTCACCTCTCCCTTTTGACTAGGTAGTATCGTTTCAGCTAAAGGCCGTACGGTTGAAGTTGTCAAAGGCAGGATCGCAAACACAAGGCAAACCTTCACCATTCTAAAGTCACTCTGGAAGTCTCCTGCACATGCCATGAAGAACAAGAATCGAGGTTTCAGCATGCATATCAAGTTAGTGCCTTTGTATGGTTAATGAAAACTTTCACTAACAGCTTGCTTCTCCTCATAATGAGGATCGAATGACTGATAAGGAAGGATAAGCGAAAGACACCATGGCAGCGAACCAATCAATGGTTTACTGTCCGACACATGTGCCAAGGGACATGGAGATAGATGAGACACACACTTAGGAGACGATTACTGAGTGACTTCGAACGCCAGGCGTTTGAATAGTACCCGAATTGGAAACTACGAACTTGGAGGAGGATTTGGGGGAGACCTTGTGAGCAGGAGATGGGAGTTTATCGGGAATCGTAGGGCCCACCAAATAGGAATGTAAGTACAGTGTTAGACACAGATGGAGCCCAAAACCTAATGAGAATCAAAATAAAGATTCTCTTCCTTAACAACAACAGTTTGAAGGCATTGGCATTATTCGCAAACTTTAGAAAAATTTGGGCGTTGTGGTGGTAGATAATGCAATCAGGGAATAATTTTATTTAATGAAAGACACAGCGCCACAATTATGCTTATCAATGGTGCTTCGAGCACAATTTATCTCCTACAACCACATGAAGGAACTCATGTGGCCTTTGTGAACTTCCCATGTCGATAGCATAACCAGTACGTCACTAACCTTCAGGCTTTGCTTATATAGTTTCACTAGTTCCCATCCTTCGATTTTAGTGGTGTTGCCATTCATCGTCGTCATTGATCTTTAAATGTAGAGCCGATTATTACAGACCCAGTGATCAATGTCTGCCCATAACTGCCTGCATTGCTCTTTAGATTATTCACTCAACCGCATCCTTTCGTACTATCATGTATTTGCTAATGCTTTGAATTTAATGAATCTTTCTCTTGGCCATTCATCCAGCTGAACTCCTATTTCCCGACAAATTCAGTGAACCTTTTAGTTGAACTCACGGACAGCTCAAGGTCATCTGGACTACACAGTTTATCCCCGCGTGGGTTTGAAGGTCTAGGTGCCACCCTGATACCTCCTTATTAGGAATTCTTCGTCGAGTTTCAGATGACCGTTACTTGGATGATTCAACTGTGGACGCCTTATATTCATCATCTGTCAAAAACACTAAATCTCTACTAGTTCTTTGTCAAACAGAATTACTCTACTCTACGACGAAGTTCAACAATAGCGTCCCAGGAGTACGGACGCTACAACAACCTTGAACGCATTCCAGTCGTTGGCTAACGGCACCCATCATTGCCATAGCTGATATATGGTTAGGATTAGGATTAAGGTTAGGGGTAGTGCAGGGTCAGGATTAAGATTTGCTTACACCTAGGAATAGATTTAGAGCTGATGTCATTTGTTTTAATTTGTTTTATTATCCACATTTTCCTGATAAGTAGTCGTCTATCCTCTTAGTGGAAACCATAGTAATTCAACCGAGAGCTTTTTGGGAGGACTACACAAAAGGATAAGAGAGATGAACGATTAAAAATAACTTCTCACCTTCAGTCACCTTGGTGAATACATGTTTAGATAGTTTAACTTAGCAGCTGATACTCCTCAATATAACTGGGACGTATTTCTAAGTCATGTCAGAGAAAATGAATTTAGCCCATTTTTCACATGAGTCCATGTGCCTGTCAACCACAATATTAACAAGCTGGTTAACTGGCACGTTGCTCACCCTGCTGATAACCTTTAACATCCTGCGCAATAAGGTATAGTCTTTCTTCAGTAGCCCGGGAAAAACTGAGGGGAACAATAGAGAATAACAGGCAGAATGCGAGAGTTAACGAATTGTAGGAGTAAGGGTTGGGTTATACCAGAATGTCTTAACTTCTTGATGTAGAAGGTAAGACGGAACATTTTCTTAGAAATCGTCAAGATATGAGACGACAAGGAAAAATCAGCAGATAGAATGACGCCTAGGAAAGTCTGACTTTTTATTCTGCAGTCTATATCTATTT